CGGTGCTGACGCCCGGCCCGCGCCAGGGCCGTCCGGCGCTGCTACCGACGCCGGCACCTAGTCAGAGTCCGGTGCTGACGCCCGACCCGCGCCAGGGCCGTCCGGCGCTGCTACCGACGCCGGCACCGAGTCAGAGTCCGGTGCTGACGCCCGACCCGCGCCAGGGCCGTCCGGCGCTGCTACCGCTGTCGCTCGACAGGCCACTGTCGATGCAGAGCGAGACGGGCTGGCACGGTTTGCTCGGCGGGCTCGGCGAGCCCCGGGCCCCGGCGGCGCCGCCTCCGGCGCGGCCGCCGCCGGGGCTGGCCGCCCCATCGCGACCCGAGGCGGCGGCGGCTGGCGCGCCGCCGGGGTTGCGGCCGTCACCGCTGACACCGGCGGCGCTGGCCGCCGCCGCCGCCGCCAGCTACCGCAGCCAGGCACAGACGCCACTGGAGTCAGCGCCGGCGCCGCCCGGCCCGACGCCTAGCGTCCGGCCGGCAGTGCAGCACCAACAGCCGCTGCTGCTCATGGGCCAGCAGCTGTGGCCGGCTGTGACCTCGTCGGGCCAGACGGCGTGGATGCCTGGCCGGTACCCGCTGCAGCACCCGATGTACATGCCCGGGCCGCAGCTGGCGTCCCAGGGCCAGGCCGACGGGAATCGACCGATGGTGGCGCCGTTCATGTTCCACGGCCAGAACGTGGCTCCGCTGGTGACGATAGGTCAAACGCCGGTGATACCTTCAGGGTTGTTCAGCGGGCCGCCGCAGATGTCGACAGCGGCGCCCGCTGCGCCGCAGCAGACGAGGACGGAGCCAGCCGACTGGGGGGTGGCGACCGCCACGAGTCAGCCGGCGGTGTCCGCCGACGCTGGCTGGGGTCCCGGCTTCGGCACTGGCTTCAGCTCCGCCTTCAGCTCCGGCTCCGGCTCCGGCCCCGGCCCCGGCCCAGGCTCCGGCTCCGGCTCCGGCTCCGGCTCCGGCTCCGGCTCCGGCTCCGGCCCCGGCTCCGGCTCCGGCTCCGGCTCCCGTCCCAGGTCGTCGTCGAGCTCAGACAGCGTCGAGTGGCGCCCGACGCCCAGCTCCACGCCGGGCGTCGGCTGGCCGGCCGCCGAGGCGGCGCCGGGGCTGGCGGGGCAGAACAGCGGCGCCGAGACCGCCGAGAATGTCGAGCACCGAAGCCCGTCGCCGCCGCCACAGCCCGTCTCAGGTGAGGAGCGGTCACCACGGTTGTCCGCGCGCCCGCCCGGTCTGGTGTGGGTTTGGTGCCAAGTGCGAGCTGGGCTCTTCATGTTCAGAGTGGTGGACAGTGTGGTGTCAGCTTACGTGACTCATTTGAGTTTGGTATTGTGATTTAAGTGTGCTCTACATGTGACGGCGGTTTGGTCCGAACGCCTTCGGGTGGGAATTAGTTTGCTTGTGTGTGTGACCTGTGTGGCCATTCGGGTGCCTTTGTCTTCGGCGGGGCCGTTGGCGTGGATCACTTTTGGGAACCACGTAGATCAACGGCATTGGGAGCGCCACATCCGAGACTGGCTGGGCAACTTCCGCTGTGTGTGTGCGGTTGAGACCTGACCACAGCTGGTGACAATGGCTGTCACTGTGTTCGGACCTGCTACTGGTTCGGGGGCCGACCGACGCGCGAGATTGGCGCGCGCCGCGTGACCTGTGACCCACTCCCCGACGCCGTCACGGCGCCAGCTCGATCGGCGGCTGGTGACCGGCGGCGGCCGCCGCGTACGACCCGCACCGCCGTCTGACCCGCGCTCACCTGCGGCAGGGCGGGGCACGATCCTGGCGTTCGTGGACGACACGTGCGGCCTGGCCGAGTGGGAGCGGGCCGGCCGGCGCGAGCAGGTGATGTTCGAGCGCGGCGTGTGCCGCTGGCTCGGCGCCGACATGGACGCGCTCGACGTCAGCGCCTGCTACACGGCCGGTGAGTCTCCGAGGCCGTCACGGCAGAGGTCCGTCACCCAAACCACCCGCTGTCCGCGGGGCTGTACGCGTACCTACCCGCTACGTATCCGCTGTCAGTTGTACCCATGCGCTACTTACTCGTCTGCATTTTTTTTTTAAGCGCGCGTTCAAAATTGTTGAAGAGTTCAAGAACTTTCACTTGAGTTTTCAGGGAGTTGCATTTGAGAGCCCATGGGTTGACCCTGCCCGTGATATCCTCCAGCGGTGAGTGCGGCGCCGGCTCGACTGAGGCGGCCGACAGCCAGCCCGGAGCCGGCACCCCGGTGTGCCTGGCTGCAGTGAGGCTGCGTTCGGCACTGGTGGCGGGCGTCGCCGGCTTTCTCCGGCTTGGCGCCCGGTGCGCCAGCCCTGTGCTGACGCCTCCCCCCCGCCGCCCGCAGGCGCCGAGGTGACGTTCGAATGTGTGCCGGCGCCGCGGGAGCAACCCTACCAGTGGGTGGCCACCCGGTTCCAGCAGGTGGAGGACTGATGGGTGGTTGCGCCCTCTGACGGCACAGAGGCGGGTGGAACCGGCTGTGAAGGGACACACTGTGATGGACGGCTCCAACGTTGCGTATTGCAGCATCGTGCGCGCGGGCCACGCGCCCGCCGCTCCGGTGGCCAATACACGCCAAAACTGGCGCCAGTTTGTTTGTCCGTTTATTTCTCCGAGTGCCCGGTGAAAACACGCGTATACATTCATATACATAGGCATGTACAGTGCACGGACGTACACGTATGTGTATGCATGCGTACAGTGCGCCGAACCGCGAACAGACGGGCGCGGCGCCGACACAGAACATGCGCTCCCTGCGGCTACCACCGCCCCACGTATAAAACGCCTATGTACAGATGAGGATGAGGTGCACGGCGCGGCAGAAGACAGGCGGACGCGGTTGGAGAGGAGGGCAAGGGGCGACGCGGGGCCCCCAGCGCAGCCCGAATGCGGCGCTGGCGGTAGTGGCCCGGCCCGAGATTAGTGAAGAATGCTTTCATCGCGGTTGGGAACCGGGGAGCTGGCCGAGTACGGCGTGTGGTGCGTGCTTGTCAAGAGGGGCATACGTTAAGTTGTGATGAGCGCTGTGAAGATAACACATTCGCGGGTCCACTTTGAGGCACCTCAGTGCTGTGTGGTTTGACATTCGTCACGGCGCGCTATGGACCACTGCAATAAATGAGGCCTGAAGAGATGTTCCGTTGTCCATTCAACCAGATGGTAATCCAAACCCTCGATCGCTTAAATTTGGTGCACTGGTCGCGACGGTTGATGGCACCTAACCGCGCGCATATCGGGCGTCCGCTGGAAATCCTTAGCGACTCCTCGTTGACTCCTGTTACGCCCCAGGCTGGATTAACAACCCGCTTTCACTGGTAGACCAATCAGACCACTGTACATGGCTGGTTGTGAAATTATGGCTTGAATACCGTAACTAACCCGCACAGGACATCTCAACGCGAAGCGTCGGTACCCTCACCATTTGTAACCAGCTGCGCGAGCGCGAACCAAGGGAGACCACTTCTGATCAAAGCGCTCAGGGTATTTTGCTCGCGCCCCTCGAAAATGCTACCAAGAACAGCGCCCCTGTGGTGCCGAGGCCCTGGAGAGCGTTTTCAATTTGGCCGACGCGATCGCCGCGCGCCACGCACGTTCGGACCCCTGGACCTGTGTGTTACTCCCCTGCGCTTTTCAGCCGAAATTGACCTTCCACGAACTGTTTAGTGGCTGTTTTGAGCTGCTGGCTGATGCGTGAGCAATCTGTCTAAAGCATGGGCCTTCGCAAGGCCCCACCAGAAGCCTGCGGGGATGAGATGGGGGGGGGGGGGGGGGCCCGCACATGTCCCGCCTTCAGGGACACAATCCTCTGCCCGTAGTCGCTGGGTTGGATCCAACAGGCAGTCTCTGACGCGTTACACTCAGTCATGTTGCGGCGAAGCGAAACGCTCTCAGATATATCTTTAAAAACGATCGTCATGTTTCAAAGCTAATGGTCTACCCGTATGGGGTGTATCCTGGTGGAAACGGTCTGTTGGATCCAACCCGACGACCGAAAAGAGAGCTGTCTCGCTCAAGACTTAGCATGTGTGAACTGCACATTCCCCGTCGCCAGCTTCTCTTCTTCCCCACTTAAACTTCCACTAGTGGGGCCAAGGGAAAGAAACATTGCAGAAGACAAGGCATGGGCCGTGCAGAACCCAGCGCCTCAAGATAGCCACTAACGTGTTTGGAAGTCGGTCAGCTGGAGTGCCTTCGACACCGCGCAACATTTTGACGAACGGGTGAACCCGAGCTTCGTACGTCGCTGAGGTCATGAGGTCATTGCCACCGCCTTTTCGGGGCCTCGAGTTAACGGCACTGCAGCGAGGCTGTCCTTAGTCGTATCAATCCACGAGCAGCAAAAGCTGAATCGGCCAAGCGGTCCAATCATAACGTGGTCATAATTGGTTCAAGCCCGCAGCATCTGACAAAAATAGGCATTCTTTACAGCTTGCCAGTTCTCGTTCGATGAGGTTCATTGGTTCAACGCATTAAATAATAGGTTTGCATAGCGTCGATCAACACAACGCCCAGCATCGAGACTTGTTTTTTAATTTCCCGGTCGTTGCTTAGTTATTCGGAACTAGCCAAATACATCTGGCACCAATTCACGTGCGAACAGTTGCCTCAAAACTGTGTACCTGCATCGCATGTATCACTACAACACCCCCACGACAGGCGAAACCCTAATACACATATCCTCAACGAGCGCACGGAGTGTGCTCAAAATACAGAAATAAGCGTCCAAGTGCAAGCGTCCGAACAGGTGCTGCGCGCGCAAATCCAAACTGAAGCAAACCCATTAGAAATACGTGTTTCAGTTTTCACGATTCAATGGCAGTCAAGGGCGCCAGGGGGCTTTCGCTAAAGACGCGCCGTTTGCAAATGAATGACGGGTTTCCAACAATTGGCATACGAGTCGAGCGGCGGCCGCGTGCAGCGGGCCTACCGCGCGGCCGCCGCGGCCCGGACCAGCCCGGCCCGAGCAGCCGACGGCCGCGCCAGTCCTGTGGCCGGGGTGTCCAGCTGGCTATGGGGACTAAGCCCGGCCGGCGGGGGGAGGGGGAGGGGCTCGCGGGCCCGCGCGCCGGCACATCACCGTCACGATACCGCGCGCACACCCATGCACAGATATAGCCACAGCGGAATGTCAACGCTCCAATCTACAAAAATACTGCCACATTCTACAATCCGATGCGGTGGTGGCAAGCTAGAGCAGTGGGCTGCATGTGGGGTGGCAATCGTTGGACCACGAGCGCGGCCCGAAGCTGGCGTCGGTTAACACCGCACAAGGCGCGTGAAAGATAATGCGGATAGGACCCATTCCCAACCGACATGCTCGCTCGCAAACAGAGGCCTACGGAAGCGACTGAGCGCCGTGGCTGTCCTGGTGGGACAACGGCGACACGGCCGACACACTGACGCCAGGCTCGTATGCAGGGCCGTGCTTAAACCGTATGAAAGACTAGATCATGCACGAAAACATAACAGACCCCAGGTTAAACAAAACACTTATTGCCTGCCGGTACACAAGCAGTCGGATTGTCTTTGGTATACAGTTAAAGTGAAAGGATCGGGCGCAGGTTGTTGGTGGCGGACATCGCGCGAAAAAAAACAAACTTTGAAAGTGTCTACGACGTGCAGCACGCATGCGCTGCAAAAACCGGCCCGCGTCTATGCCTAGAAGCCAACACAAAACACCACCTCTCACGCCAAGTCCACGCGCCGGCAGAACGACCCTGGGATCACACTCCCATCTGTCCGTAAGTACGAGACGTGAAGCTTCGAGAGATCGCCGCAGACTGGCGCTTCTGTCGCTCGTCCGCGCGCCGGGCAGGGATTGTCGGGGCGATAAATTTGGATTAAAGCTGTGATACCGGCGCGGTCGTGCGAGCCGGCCGCGCCGGTTCAGCGCAGGCGGCTGAGATCGGTCCGGTGTCGCCTGTCCGTCGTCAATCCCAACCATTGTCCTTGATCATGTGCGCCAGCTCGATGATGAACTTGCCCTCCTTGTACTTCTGGCTCGTCTCGAAGGCTTGCTCCTGCAATAGAACGCGCCGACTCTCAGCTGGAACGCCGCCTGCGAGAGGCACGCTTTCGCCTGCTGCGTACGGCCCGCCGCTCGTGCACGTCTGCCGCTGGCCAGGCGCGCGTGCGCCGGCCCACACCCGGTGACACGCACTGTCCCGAAATAGCGAGGCCATTGCGAGGTTGCGGCCATGCGCCGCCGGGCCGGCGGTGGCACACCCGGGTCACACAGGCTAGGGGGAGGGATCACCGCGGGTCTGACCTGGTCCCCCCCCCCCGATCTAAGGGGCCGCTTGGCCACGCCGGCCACGTCAGAGACCGTGCCGGTATGTCGCAGGCACGACCCCGTCGTGAATCCCGAGCGGAAATCCCTGCCACACAGCCCGCCCCCACCGCACCCCGCGGCGCGTCGTCGCGGCCTGCCATACAGTCCCACCCGGCACGCGTCGCACACCCACTCACGTATTTCCAGCCGAGGTTGGTTTTGCAGCACTCGCAGAAGATGTCGGCCACGGCGTGCAGACCCGTGAGCAGAACACGCCGCTCCGCCTGGCCGCAGCTGACGTTCACCCTGCCGACGGCGCCACGCGGTCAGCCCGGGGTCGGGTCGGGTCGGGTCGGGTCGGGCAGGAAGGCAAGGCAAGGCAAGGCAAGGCAAGGCAAGGCAAGGCAAGGCAAGGCAGGGCAAGGCAAGGCAAGGCAAGGCAAGGCAAGGCAAGGCAAGGCAAGACAAGGCAGGGCAAGACAAGGCAAGACAAGGCAAGGCAGGGCACGGCAGGGCACGGCAGGGCATGGCAGGGCAGGGCAGGGCAGGGTAGGATACGGAATGGCAGGGCACGGCAGGGCAAGAAAGGGCAAGGCAGGGCAAGGCCCTCGCCACCCCGCAGCCGACCCAGACGGCCGGTCGACAGCGGCCCAAGTCGGCCAAGCGCCGGTCGGCCGGTCGCCCGATCAATACCGCCGCTGGTGGAGAGGCGAGTGGCGTCATTACCGCTCGCCGCATGTCGGCAGCGGTGGCGCGGCCCGTTCTCAGCCAGCGGCAGGTCACCCACCGCCGGTCACGCACGGCGTCCGCCGCCAGCTTGTCAACTCGCTCCGAGTTTGCGAGATCAATACGCGATGAGGACGCCAGGAGAGCGCCGCAGCGGCAGACCCGTCGGCAGTCCGACCCAGCTGACGGCCACATGACGGCAGCCGGGCTCAGCTGACGGCCTCCTGATGGTAGCCGGGCTCAGCTGACGGCCACATGACGGTGGCCGGCCCGTCAGCGACGCTACGCCGCGGATAGAGGGAACGACACTCCACATGGCGCCGCAGACAAAGGACTGAAGGCGTCGGCAAACAAAGCTGGAGAGAGCCTGGTGACGATTGAGAGCTGAATAAGCGTGGCGGCGTGGTTCCTAGTTCAGACGGGGTCTCGTGATGACAAAGATCCGATACAGCTGTTACGTAAACGCCTCGCCGAGGCACTCTTCTGCAAAAGGCTCAAGTCCGGAGATCGCAACGGTTCGGTCTGCCCGATCTGCTCCGTCGCCATTCCGGATGTGAACTCAGCATCCCCATCCAGCCTGGCATCCGTAGCCGCAGTGTTCCCATGCCCCAGCCCCCTCCCCCCCCCCCCCCACCACAAACGTGGCAGTGTCTCGCCCCGTTCCTTATCTCAGGTCAGCGCCATCTCGAACGCAGCTGCGGCTGACCGTTGCCCCCGGCTTTGTCACAAACGCGGGGCCTCGGCCACTCAGCCCCGCCCTGCCGTAAACACAGGGCCGCGTCCCTCCGCGAGCCGCCAGCAGGGGCGCACGTGCTCCAAGCGATGGGCCGGGCCGGCGGGCCTCCAAAAGCAACACGGCCCGCCGCGGAATTCCAAACAGCGGCCGGGCCAGCGACCCGGCCGCCGACCGCGGGCCGCGCCGCCCGGTCAGCTGGGGCTTTGGGTCGGTCCGGACCGCGGCGGCAGCTGTGTGACGGCCGGCCGACCAGCTGCGCGCTCTGAGTCACGACCAGCGGCCGGCGCGTGCCGGGGGCCGGCGCCGCCCGATCGGACGCGGTACTTACACGGAATTGAACAGGTACGCTCGGCCCTGGCTTCCCTGGAACGACTGCAACGGGAACAGACGCCGTCGGTGAGCAGGGGCAGTGACGGCGGTGACGACTGAGCGGCGGGGGGCGGGTGGGGGGGGGGGCAATGTCTCGGGACACCACACCGAGCGCGCCTCACAAAGGTTGGACACGACCTCCGAGCCACACGGCACGGAGGAATGACGACCGTTGCCAGGACGCGTGCGCCGGAGGCCGAGCAGTTTAAGACGCTGGCATGATGACCGAGGGTTCAACTCCCGCGGCAGGCAGTTATTCCCGGACCGCGGCTCCCACCCTGGGCGGGACAACGCTACCTCACCAGGCACACAAAATAGCCCAACGCAAACGTAAGCACACGCCCAACAATCCAGCGATGTCAACATTACTGGCGGTCGGGCCGGTCCGATCGAAATCGCCTCAACGTTGAGTCGCCCCGTGCCGGAATCGGCGCCGGTCCCCTCCGTGCCGGCCGCGCCCGGCTGCTCACCTTGGATATGAGCTCGTCGTGGTTGGCCAGGTGGGCGCGGCAGTGGATGCACGAATACGTGCGGTGGCAATTGGGCAGGTACGCCTGGAACGTCTTCATCCTCACCATGGTCCGGCGGGCGGCCGGCTCGCTGTGGTCAAGCGCGCACGACGACGGGCTGCCGCAGGCGCCGCTCACCCATTCACACGGATTGCACGTGCTGCAACGCAGTGGGAGGAACGTCAGCGGTGTCGCCGCTGCCGCCCGGCGGCCGGTGCGTGCGCGCGGTCGATGGGAGATGAACGCGCCGATGACGCCACCGATGCAGCCCCACTGTCAGCCCACCGGCGCACGCCTGTGCGCCGGCTTTCGGCGGTGCCCCGCGCGGGGCTCGCGCCGCGTGAGCGGCTGCCGCGGAGCGCCCGGTCGCGGCCGGAACTTCGGACCGGCTGACCTTGAGCCGTTGCAGCGCCGCGTCGCAAAAGACGGCGCCAGCTGACGCAACTGTCGCTGGCGACGCAGTAGGCCGGCCGACGGGCCAGTCGATGCGGCGGGCCGAGCGCCGCGCGTGGCGCCGCCCTGGCCGGGCCGGTCACGCCCGAGGGCCGGGCCGACACCGGACGGACGCGCGTTTCAGCCCGGTCACCGCTCGTGACCGGCTCACCGCCGCCGCCCCGCGCTCGCCCCCGCGCCGCCCGCTTACGGGCGACCTGCGCCCGCTTCCGCCGTCCGACGTCGCGCTGGTTCACCGCGGCCCATGACCGAAAAATCGGGTCGTCGACTTAGCAGCAGTCGATACGCGCTGAAGACATGGTTTCAAAATCCCGGCTAGGTCCGTCAGTTGGTTGTGCGCATGCTCGCGGCCCAGAATAAATACGAGCGGCAAACATACAACGCCATCCTCTTTCGGGTAGCACGCCTGACACGCCTGACAAAACACACCACGGCACATAAAGCTGCCGTTCCTTCCGTATCTGCCCTGCGATCGTGTCAACTAATGAGATGTAATGACCTCGTCGTCGACACGCGAGAGGGCGTGAGAACTGCCATCAGGAGCTTAATCTTGGTAGCTGGTCTCCCATACGAGCGTGCTTACAAGCCACGCCAGGAAAGCCGTTGGTGACGCGTGACCCCGCCGTCAATGGTGACGTCAACTGAATTGCGTCAGCAATCTCTTCCCACCAATGATATGCTTTAAACCAATATAAGTCACGCCGCAATTATTACAGCGTGACTTATGCTTCAGTGCGGGGTTCGGGCTCATCCTCCGTCGGCAATCACAAAAATTGCATCAGCTGGATCACTCACACAGATGCGTCAACATGACAGCGGCGTTCGTAATCCCCTGGCCTCCGCCCAGCTGTCGGCCGCAACAGCTGTGCGCGTGTTCACGTCACCATGCGTCACGCACGCTGACCTACTGCCGGCGCGGTCACAATAAACAAACGCTGGCGCCTAGGCGGCGTGGCGCCAGCGCCCGCTACCGTCGCGCCGCCGCGCCGCCGCCGCCGCCGCCGCCCACATGGCGCGTGCCCCCACTGCCATCGACCGCGCTGCAGCTCGCCGCCCCGACGGGCCGGGCCCTACCGCCGCCCACCTCTATATATATCCCGGCTGCGGCCACCGCCAGATAGTGCGTAGAAGCGGCACTGCGACCGGCCAAAGCGGCGCGGGCGGCGGCAGAGTAGGGCGGAGGGTGGGTAGCGGGCCTGATGCCCGGGTCACTGACACGCGACACGTGCCGGCGCGCCGACACGTGGTTGCGGGCGGGCACGTGGTGGCGGGCGGACCCTGTGCAGCTGGACAGAGTGTGGAGGGACATTGAGCTCAATGCAGGGCGGGCCTGCAGCAGGACCGGCGGGGCAGAATGGCCCCGTAACGGCACGGTGCGGAACAGTGGCGGGACGAAGCGGTCCTGCGCAGGGACAGAGCGGCTTCATTCCGGGAAAGGGCTGCCCGGTAGTGGGTCAGAGGCCTTACACTCGCACAGAGGCCCTACATAGCGCGAGCCGGACAGAGCGCCGCCAGGGAGAGGACCGGGCGCTCACCCGGCGCCGCCAGCGGTCGGGCGAGCGAGGCAGCCAACGACCGGCCCGGCCCGGCCGGCGCCCGGCCGCCCGTGGGAGCCGCTGACCTCAGGTGTGACGCCGCGATACCGTATCGGCCGCCGCCGCCGCCGCCGCCAGCGCGGACCGCAACAGGTCGCCCGCACCCGCCCCCAAGTCCCAGCACGGGCCAGTCGCCGGCAGCTCAGGCCCGCCCCTCGCCCGTGGCGGCGGATTCTGGAGGGGAGTGGAGCGTTTCCAGCCCGCCAGTTAGCAGCTGAAAGGTCGACGGACGGTTTGTCTTGCTGCCGCCAACAGTCGAAGTCAGGTGATCGATGGGACGGGCGGTCAAGTCAAGTGATCAAGTCAAGTCAAGTGATCAAGTGAACTATGACGGGCGACAGACTTCCGCCCCTCACTTTTCGTGCAGGTTCAGCATTAGCCCTCCAACGATTACATAAATAATTTATCCCCAACAGGGCGTCGGCTGCATGTCCGTTCGGAACTGCTGCCCATCCCAGTCACGTGTCTGTTGATCGTTACTGCCAAACACAATCTGGGTCTGGTGGGCATGCAAACTCGACCACGGGTGTGGTGCAGCACCGCTGCCGAACTCAGCCCCGATCGGTGCCGCAGCGGACGCCTCTGCCGGTCCAACCGCGGCGCGTCACCCACAGGCGGGGAAGGAAGCCCGCCGCCGAGCTTCGGGGAGCCTTTGACTCAGAGCTTCTCAGCACGCGCCGATTGGAATGCTGACGTCACCTGCTGCTCTCCAGGTGACGTCTGAGGGTGAACCGCAGGCGGCGAGAATGGAGCCAAAGCCAGAGCGAGACCCGGCGAATTCGTCCGGCTGAACGATGGTGTTCGGTAGCCGGTCTCCTGTATCCTCCTTGAAGAAAGCAACTCGCGATATTTCGAGGCCAATATTTTTCCACGCTTGTACCGCAATGCCTTGTTTGCGCCTAAACTGTCAAGCCCCACCTCAGACTCGCTGTGGACGGGCGAACGCCAATGCACTGCAGTGACAGTTGGGTGGGCAGACCCCCCCCCCCCCCCCCCCCCGGAGAGAGAATGAGCTGCCCGCGAAGAGGCCTTCACGAAGTTGGACGCTTCATCACACTCTTCACAACCATCTAAATCCGTCTGCACTCGACGGCCCTGCCAGCGTCCCGGCTGCCAGGAGCACCGGAGGGGCGTGACGTCACCGCCGAGGCGTCGACCGCGCCGCGGCGGCCGGGCCGGCCGCTCGGGCCAACCACCCCATCACTCGCGGCGCGCTGATGGCTCACGTCCGCGGCAGGACGGCACCAGCGGCCCGTCGCGCCGACCGCCGCCGCAGCCGGCAGACGCCGATCCGCGGAGGGGGACGAGACGGGGGCCGGGAAGGACACAGGTCGGGCTCTGACGTCCGCGGCAGGACGGCATCAGCGGCCCGTCGCGCCGACCGCCGCCGCAGCCGGCAGACGCCGGTCCGCGGCGAGGGACGAGACGGGGGCCGGGAAGGACACAGGTCGGGCTCTGACGTCCGCGCCAGGACGGCCCGGCGTCAGGGGGACGGGCCGCCGAGCCGGGGGCTCGCCGCTGGCCGGCCAACTTGGCAGGTCGGGACAGCGCGACCTTCACCTTCTGCCGGCCCGCCCGGCCGCCGAGCCGACTGGCGCCGACTGGCGACGGCCTCCCTGGCCGGGCCGTGACGACGGTGGCAGCCGCCAGCCGGGCGCTGCTGGTCACCCCAGACTGCCGACGGCTCGCTCCACCAACGGCACGCCCAGCGGCTGGTCGTGCCCCTTCGCACTACCAGCAAGCACAATGGAGAGCCCGGCTCAATACGCGAATGAAGACAACTCCCGTCCGACAAACAGGACAACTCAGTCACTCCCATTTCAGCCGCAAACAGCGTGCATCGTTGCGTCGATCTACGCACTGGCGTGGTGTCGCCAGCCGCCCCGGCCCGCAGCCAGCCCGTCCGGCGAGCACGTGGCGGCGCCCCCCCCCCCCCCCCCTCCCCCGCCTCTTCCCGGCTCCATCCCTAACCGGGCGCGAACAAAGCGGCGGGGCTGGGCGTCGGGGTTGGACGCCGGCGCCAGCGGCCGGCGGCCACGGAAGCGGCGCGTTTGCCGCGGCCGGACGCCGGCCGCACCAGCCGGTCAGCTGGCCGTCCCAGCGCCAGTGGCCCGGCCCTGAGTAGGCCCTGCTGCGCAGCGGCCCGCTCGAGCCGCGGACGGCGAGCGGCCGCCGCGCGACATCGATCGGAAACCCTGCCGCCGCGCCGCCGGCCCCTGAGGAATCCCCACGCTGACTGGCCATCTGACGCCCGCTTCCGGGCACGGGTGCCGCACTTTCCGCAGTGATGGGCCGCGCGCGGGCGGTGCATTTCGCGAAAGCTGCGGCAGGTGGCGGATTACGCTCTCCCGTTGCACGCGACTCTGGCGGTGGCAGGAAGCGTCGGAAATATCAGTCTGAAGGTGAAAACGACCGTTTTCCTCACTCGAAGGAGCACCCGACGGCTGCGGCACATTTGGTCATGCAGCTTTCACGTGAAATCGCGAACTACGCGGTGGCCTGGACCCCGCCTAGGCGACGACAACGGATCACCTGATTACCCAGCGCTGGCGCCCGCATCGCCGACAGCCGGCGACCAAACGGGGCACATCCGGGACGGACCGACCGGTGCCGACTGCGACGCAGTGCCGGCCAGCCAGCCAGCGCCCGCCCCGACCTGACCTCGGGTCGAGGCCGCGCGCCGGCGTAACTGAGCTCGGCCCGCAGCCGATCGGAGGTGCGTCGAGAACCGGCTGACCCGGCCGGCTCGGCCCGTGTTTACGCCCGCTGAGGCGGCCGGCCCCAGCGCGCCCGTCGACGCCTGCAGCTCAGGGTCAACCACCCCGGTGGCCGGCGGTTAACTGTCGCACACACTTCACGGCGCACCGCGACACCAAGAAGGCCCACATCAGGGGCGACAGGCGGGAAACTGCGCCGCTCGAAGGTGCTGCGCCGCTCGAAGGTGCTGCGCCGCCGGCGCCCGTCGTATCGGACGCGCAGTGTGCGGCCACGCAGTAGCTCCCGTGACATCGCAGGTCGTGCTACTGTGGCCGCAATCCTTGACTGATACAGCGTGGTTTGAGCACACAAAAAATCGTTTTGACGAATCCGTGTTTGTGGAGGCCACTTTCAG